CCCGCGCGGTTACAAGCAAATGCCGTCCATCATGTGAGAGTACCCGACAATGTCGTCTGTTTAGTGTGCAGCCGGGAAGGTACTACAATATTGTGCTAACCCACAACGCAGACCCGTAGCAGCAATCTGCTTCGGCTGCGGACGTCATCGCGAGATGCGGGTCCACTTCGCGCCATGTGTTGTGCCTCAGTCGTGCCCCAAACGTGCTAATGAACATATATAGGCAACGTTCAAACTGATGCGGAAGGGCCAGCTTGCGGCCGGGGATATCCATGCCAGCTGCGTCCCGGTACGTGCATCGTACCCGTATACCTTGCGAGCGTGTAGGTCGTCTCCGTGGTCGCAGTGTAAGAACGCTAGCGACTGCGAGCCTGAGCTTACAGCAAGACGATGGCGTGGTATCCTGTGGACTGTCCGGGTCTGGATGCTGACTGCCTCGAATCGTCGATCCAGCATCGGGCGACGAGAGAGCTCGCAGAAAGGGGTGCCTCCGCAGGAACAATCTGGACGAGGCGGGATGAGGACAGCTTTGGGAGCTCCCTCGCACCACGGTGGGCGTCGGCTGTCAACCATAACCATGGAACCTTGTCCATCTGAGAGGGTAGTATAGACGATGGCACACCGTCTTCTGAACGATCCGATATATCCTTAATTGACACTAGGCGAGCAAGTGTATCTACAAGTTTGTTCAGTGGATACGCACAGTGACCTGGAACGTGCAACCATGTCACCACAGTGCGTACTCGCGCGAGCCGTACGAGGGAATTTAACAGGATGGGCAACACGCCGCAATGCCTGTACATCACACCTCCTGCAGCAGCTTCTACCACCATCATGCTATCCGAAAGAACAGTAATGCGCCGCAGACGATATATCGAAGGCGCCTGAAGGAGCCAACACACAAACCAAACAGCAGCATGAAACTCGGCGGGGCTCGACGGGCCCACGTACTCCTCTTTAAGTGATGGGGCGGAGCCGGCCATGTAACCATTCATCCAATGCTTACCGTCCTTCGTCGCGCCACACAGCAAACGCCCATGATGGTGGCCCCCCCTGCATGTCCGTGCTGTCTGACCCACCCGATCCGTCTGTGTACACTGCAAAATGATCCATGTCATCGTCGTGAAGTGAACATCGTTAGAGCAGGCATTCTGTGCCAGGAAATCAACGGCACTAGAATGGAGACGATGGCGAAAGAGGCATGGCACAGGATGATGTGTGGATGGCGGCGCCACGAAAATGGGAGAGAGCACTGCGTCTTGCCACTGGGCCGCGAGCAATGCTGCTAAGTTGCCGCAGTCGGGAACTGGACTGACGGGCGGCGCATTCATCAAGAGCGACGGGGCTGGGTGCCCCGGCAGAGCCGCGGCGCTCGGAGCCCACGCGGGCTGAGCCCCATTGGCGCCTAGCGGCTCTGCAGGCTGGCTCGCCCCTTCTGCGACTGGCTCGCCTGCGTCGCGTCAATGTCATCTTCCGAACTCTGGCCAGCGCGAACCTCGTCCGCGTTCGCGCGGCGGGGGCTTCGGTCACGGCTTCCACCCCCTACTGGCTCATCTCGTCCACGTGCTCGGGTCGCTCCTCGCCCGGCACCACGCGTGGCAGCGCGCCTCCTGGAAGCATCGCAGAACCCGACGCTGCGATGACCGTCTCGAGGGTGGGCTGGCCAGCAGCCGCCAGGCCCTGGGCCTGCAGGGCTGCCTTCTCGTCCGCTGCTGCTTTCGCGCGAGCCTCGGCCGCGGCCCGAGCGCGCGCCTGGCGAGCCGCCTTGCGCTCGTCCCACGCAGCCTGGCTGGCAGCGGCTGTGACGTTGGCCTCCTGCTGTGCGTTCTCATCCTTGTCTGCGTCCGCTGCATCCATCGCTTCCTGTGCCTGGAGCTGGGCTGCCGTCTTAGCAGGACATGCCGCGGCAGGGGGGTGTGTGGCAGCAGCCTGTGGCACTGCGGCGACGTGCTGTGTGGGCTGCGTAGCTGGATGTGCGGCTGGAGTCGTCGTAGCAGTAGTCGCCGCCATGCTCGCTGCCGCCGTAATCTGCGTCTGTGCCGACTGCGGCCCTCCCAGTGCTGTGGCAATCCCCGCGATCAGTTGAGCCGTGCTCACCTGTCCCTGCTGGAGCTCGGCGGTGGCTGCGACCGAAGCGCCTGACATCTGGATGGGTGCCTTCGCCGCGGGCGCAGTGGGCGCCACTTCTTCCGCCGCAGGCGTTGCGGTGCCCTGCGTCTTGTCGTCGCTGGCGGCAGCCGGCAGCGGGAAGAGGGTCTCGAGCTGTTGAACAAAGACCCGTGCAAGGGTCAGCTCGTTGGCGCGATGCTGCTGAACCAGCTGGCGGGCCTTGTGCTCAATCATGGCTTCATGCGCCGCCTTCTCTGCGCGCGCGGGGCGGCGCTGGGCGCGCTCTGCGAGCGCCCGCTGCCTCGCAAGGCGCGCCTCCGGGGTCCTGGCCACGGTGGTCATTGCCATCGGGACTGAGTACTCCTGCTCCTGCGCCTCCACGAACATGGTCGGTAGTCCGGGCTCGCGGGGCGCGCGAAGCATCTTCGCGGGCGCCGCTGCCGTGCGGCGGAGGTTGCGCCTGTGAGTGGCCAAGGCAGCAGGGTCCGTGGGAGGCTTGATCCAGGTCGGGTGCGCCCGCGCCTGCCCCAGCATTGCAGGGGGCACGCCGAGGACCTCCTGCGGGCTTGCTGGACGATCCGCCGTCTCCTCGGTCGACTCGGGCTCAGTCTCGTCGAACGTGATGTCGGTGGCTGGCGAGCGCCTACGGGATGATCGGCGTCGGAAGGCACCTCTGGTTCCCCCGCAGGCTCGCCATCTCGCTGCTGGGCCTGGGCCGGTGGAGGGCGGCAAGGGCTGCGCTGACGGCTATGGCGAGTGCTGCTGTGCGCCGACCTTGAGGTGCACCTCCGCCTCCGCTGGTGCTGATCTCGCCCGCTGCCCGCTGCTGCGTGCTGCTGCTGCTGCTGCTGCTGCTGCTGCTGCTGCTGCTGCTACGGCCCGCTGCCTGCATGCTGCTGCTGGTGCTGCGGCTGATCGCGGAACACGCTGCACGCCGCTGGACTCTGCTGTGGGGGCGGGTAGCAGGTCCTGCACATCAAGTCGCTGGCGGCATTTGCGTGCCCGCATGCTGGACACCACCACGGCGGGGGCGGCGGGGACGGTGGGGACTGCTGACCGCCCTTTCCTCCGCCGCCTTTGCCTTTGGCCTGCCACGCCATGGCGCTGTGGTGCGTTGCGAGACACATCGCGGCGGTCACCAAACGCAGTACAAATCGGGCCTGAGCACGCTGTTGTCGGGCACGCCAGTGCCGCGCTGGCTCGCTGCCCTGCTGGCGCGGCGTGCCTCCCGCCGGAGTGCGCCGCGGCGCGGCGAGGCCCGCGCGCTCAATGCGCGGGCGTGGGCCAGCGCGCGTGATTGCCCTCCCCGAGAAAGGTTCGCTGTACCTGGTTCAGCGCCGGACACCTCTCGAACCGGGGCGGCAGCGAGGAGGAGGGAGGGAGGTAGGGAGGGAGGGGAGGGGAGCGGAGGCGAGGGGAGGAGGGGAGGGGGGGAAGGGAGGGGGGGAGGGAGGGGTGGGGATGGGGAGGGGGGGGGGGGATGGAGGGGGGAGGGGGAGGAGGAGAGGAGGGCGTGGTGGAGGGAGGAGGAGGAGGAGGAGGGGGAGGAGGAGGAGGAGAGGAGGGGGAGGAGGGGGAGGAAGGGGAGGGGGAGGGGGAGGGGGAGGAGGAGAGGAGGAGGAGGAGGAGGAGGAGGAGGAGGAGGAGGAGGAGGAGGAGGAGGAGGAGGAGGAGGAGAGGAGGAGGAGGAGGAGGAGGAGGAGGAGGAGGAGGAGGGAGGAGGACGAGGAGGGGGAGGGGGAGGGGGAGGGGGACGGAGGAGAAGGATGACCGCTGGGCTGATTTGGATCCCAGTAGACCCCCTGCAGGTTTCTGGCCTCCTCCCCGCCACCTGATCCTCGGCACCGCCCACTGCCATGTTCCAGGCACATCATGCCAGCGCAAGGCTGGGCACGCGTTGCCTTCCTCTGGGCGCCGTGCCGGTCAAGTTCTGGGAGTACTTCATCGGTACAATCGGAATTGGTACGGAAAGCATGGGGACGACTATTACTACCAGCAGCTCTTGCCCATTTTGAACAGGACTCGCTGTTAGTGTCGCCGCGGACGTTGTCCATTTAAGTCACAAGGTTGTCTGCCCAACGGCGGCAGGCTCCTGATGGTATTGGCCAACGGTTGGTGTTGGACATCGTGCATTGTTTGTCCAAACCCATTTCAGGCGTGACAACCTCAAATGCAACGTACGGGGGGGTAGGCTCAAGGGGGGGTGCATGGACCCCCAATCGTCAATTGGTCGCCGAACGGAGCCTGATAGCCCACCCTGCCCAGGAACGTGGGGATTCGATCCGCCATCGGGGGCCTACAGCCGATGCATCGGCGATGTATCGCCGATTCCAGATCGATGCCCCCCCCGCTTGTGCCAATCTCCCCTCCCATCGTGGCCTTTCGCTGCCGAGCTGGAACCTGGGGCGCCCACAATCGGATCCGAGCAGGCATCGACCCAGAGCCCGTTTGTATTCGGCCTGTCGAGACGACGGCGGCCCTCCCTGGCGTTTTTGGTCCGTCTGCGGCTTCCCGGAGGGAGGCCTGTCGTCGCGACGGTTGGGTCCGCGTCGACAAACTCTGCCGTTGTCTCAACTGGCCCTCCTCCGATCGATCCATGTCGACGTCACCGTTCTACCGCCGGAGCGGCGGTGCGGCGTGATCCCTCGACCTCATCGTGCTCGGGCCCTAGCTTGGGCGGCCTCCATAATGCGACAAAGTGATTCAGAACTGCCCAGGGGGGTCGCAGTACCTCACTTTGATGTGGACAGTTGAAAAGGTATGGACCCGGATGAGAAATGGTTTGATCGAGCCTGCCCGATTTGATTTTTATTCGTTCGGTCGCAGTAGCGTGTCTTGCTGGCTGTTCTGCCGCGAGGGGGGAGGGGGCAGACGGGCGGGGACCAGCCGAGGAGCAGCTGCTGCAGCAGCACGCCGAGTGCCGCCAGACGCGCTCGGCGCAGGAAATCCGCCCGCCGGCGTCGTCGTCGCCACTGTCGCCCAGCATCGAGGAGCGAGGCTGGAGCGGGCTCCTTGTTCGAGGGGGGGTGGCTCCTGGATGCCTCTGGAGGCCCTCGGCGACGGGCCGCCAGCCAGCCAGCGCGCGGGGCGGCGGCGAGGTGGCGTCCGTCCAGCGGCCACCGTGGGAAAACAGGGAGCCGCCAGCCAATGGCGTCATTCCCGCCCGGCTAAGAGCATCCATCCGTGCTCACCCCGCTTTGGGAAGCCCTGACGTATACGCTGTGCAGTGCTCGTCACTGGGAAGGCCCCTCAAGTTCCCTCTTCTCCCCTCCGCCCTCTGCACCTTTTGCCCCCTCCTCTCACGCTTGCTCCTTGCGAGTGCTGCTGTCCTCTCTCCCTGCCGACGTTTGCTTGCTCCCCTGCCGCTCCCAGGATTATGTTGCGCAGGACTGCCCGCATCTCGGAGCGTGTTCAGTCCTTCGGGACGGCACCCTCGCCTCGGCGCCTGCCACACAGTTTCGTGTTCGCACTCATCTAGAAGGGCAGGATTGTGTGCCAATGTAGCGTCACTCCGAATTGGCGAACACGCTCCGAGGAACAATTCAGAAAACGCTAAGGGTGAATCCGGTCCACGGTTAAGGAGAGCACCCATGTGCCAACACGAATGTGCGTCTTCTTCCCTGCCCGACGTTTGTTGCCGTTTGGGCTCAGGCGCTCGGCCGTTTCTGGATAACGGTTGGGCGCTGCAGCTGGCCCTTGGGCCTACGCCGCTCGACGCCGCGCCGCGGCGGAACGAGAAGGTCGTCCTCCCTGGCGCCTGCCATGCCGTCCGTCGCGCAGGAGGAAGGCAAAGAGGGCCAAGGGGGTGGACCGCGGAGGAGGGTCAAGAGTGTGTGGTACCGCTGTGTTTGACATTCCGGGACGGGAGCCAGGCCGCGAGGCGGAGGACCGCGTAGGGAGGTCGAGAGCGCGTGGCAGCGCTGTACGACCCTCTGGGACAGGATCCAGGCCGCCAGGCTAGTAGAGTCCCACCTTTGCCGAGTTCGCAGTCGGGCGAAGAGGGCTGGCAGTAGGTGCGAGGAGGGCACGTGAGTTTTCAGATGACGGTGGCGCCCTTGGTCAAGAAGGCCGGCGACGCGCGCAGGTTCGTGGGTGGCGACGATGTCGTGGCCATCGCAGTCACGTGCCATTTGTTGCGAGGAAGAACATGCTTCGTATCTCTATTCGTCTTGGCTTACGAAAGCGGTGGGATTCCATGGGTCCGGGGCATCTTTTCGGTCGTCGCACACGAGCACGTTGTCATTGCCATTGGCGGCGAATACCCATGGACATTCATCAACGCAGTCATGGATCCTTTGTTCCCGTGCCGCTACATGTGCTTCAGGTGCCACGGAGGCAAGCGGCGCAACGATGCAAGTATTAGGACCAGGCCAGGGTAGGGTCAAGTAGTAGAAGGAGTCGCAGTCGCGGCGTGCCAAGTCCGACGAGCACGCCATTGGGGCGGAACTCGCGAAGCACAGGGGCGGTCCGGTGGTACCGAACGTCTGGTTCAACGAGATTCATGAGGCGATCCTAAAAGACGAACGCTTCGGAATTGCAGCAGACTTCACGATCGCTCGCCCTCGTTGGAGATGGCATCTTTCTGCGTGCGCCCGCGTTGCGCAGCGACTCCCTTCAAGTCGAAGGAGTGGGTGCGCTGCGCGGTGCCGACGCAGGTGAACGAGGCGGGGGGCGCCACCACCAGGGGCCAGTGAAGGTGCGTGAGCGAGAGGCGCGGCCGCAGGTGGTCAGTGAATGGTACCGACGCGTGGGAGTGTCGCGTTATCGTCTTCCCGTCGCGCCCCATCGTCGCAAAGGGCGGCGTGGAGATGGCCGGCGCCGAGGAGGCATATCGAGCAGCCCCAGGAGTGCAATCCAGTCTATTTCGGCCACGGGGACCTGGAGCAGGAGGGCACCCTGATGGCCCTGAGGACGGCCGTGCCAGTGTCTGTCATCAGCGCCGCGACAGTTGCGGATATCAAATTCGACGGGCTGTATGAGATGGAGCTCGGCCCAGTCGCGGGCGCCGTTGGCTCGTGGAACTGAGGGGCTTACCATTTGCTCTTCGAGCACGTGCCCACGATCTCGGAGGCGAGGATCACCGAGGACATGCTCAGAGGCTCAGGGATTTGAGCGTTCGTTCCTACTGCGAGGATGGGCGTCTCTCCCAGAACGCGTTCTCTAGCACCTGTCGCGCCGTCAGCCCGCCCGAGAGCCGTCCCATGTTCGGCGGGGTAGAGAGCGACAGGGCGATCGATCCCCTGCCCCCGTTCTTCGGCATTTCGGGCTCCGCGGGCTCGGGGGCCAAAACGGGCCGGAAGATGGGGCAGCTCGCAGAGCTGTGAGGGCGGCGCGCTCGAACGCGGGAGGTTGGTCACAGGGGGTCGGATCGAACGTGGGCCCGATGAGGCGTGTGGGCGGCGGTGGGGCGGATATGCAGGACCGCCTGAAGCAAGAAGCGGCGACCCCCCCCAGCCCCGGGGTGGCGAACGTTGGGTGTTCGGGAATCCTCGCGCCTCGTTTTGCGACCACCAAACCGAGCTGGGGGTGGGGGTGGTGGAGTTCGCCCCTTGCGCGGGGGGGGCTCAGACTCGCCTGCTTGGGGGAAGAGGGGGGAGAGCGCCTGGCCCTAGTTCGAAAAGGGGGCCGCCTGAAGTGCCGAGAAGAGCTCTGGGACGGGTGCATCTTCGGCAGCCTGGCCAAGAGGGCGGGGGCGGCGTGCGTGGTCGGATGGAAACAGTGACTGATGTTTGTGCGGGCACGAGGCCAGAGCCCGCGGGGTTTGGAAGAGGTGGCCGACATGAGAATGAGGACGTATGGTTCGACGGGGTGGTCCAACGGGCGCATTTCCAGCAACGCCCGGAAGAGGCAGTGAGGGCGAACCTGATGACTGTCCGCCACTGCCGTGTGGCGGGGTGCCCAGACTCGCTGGAGTTGGCGCCCCGTCTCTGGCGAGTCCTGGCAGGGTTGCGTCGGCCAGGGGCCGAGCAGAGCCGCGGGTGCTCCAGCCGGCGTGGAGCGGAAAAAGGTGTCCGACAACGCGTGCAGGGGGCTTGTTAGGGGAATGGCCGAACTATTATCCCGATACCATTGCGCCGACTAGCGGGCGCAGTGTTGGCTCTCCTTGGAATGCCCGGCCCGCGGCAGGCTGCTGAATTGGAAGGTGGCCCCCCCTGGCAGATGGCCAGCGGGTTGCCCGCCCGTGTGTAGTGCAATCCGGAATGCCCTGCCCAGTGGGCCAATCAGACAGTGGACGGTGCCCCCCGTGGCGACATGCCAAAAGGGCCCTCAGGGCTTTGGCGTGGACGGCCCCCGCAGGGGCGTTACCTGCGACCCACTCGCGGGCCGCCCTGGGGAGAATTTCGCAGGGGCTGCGCCCGCTGACATGCTTTCTGGCGTGAGTGAGTGCCCTGCAGGCCGCGGGGTATTTGAGGCAGCGCGGGGGGCCCCCCTTGGGGTTTGGCCGTCGGTTCCCCGAAAACGTTTGTAGTATTGGGCCTGGGGCGCGAGTTGGGCACCTGGCGCCGTATTTAGTGAAGAAGTTTCCCTCTTGCCCCCCCCCCCTTGTAAACTGTAAGGCCCCTCGCAGCGTATCATTTTTTTGTGTGTTTTCTTGCTTTTTGTGTTCTCTCTCTCTCTCTCTGTTTCTTTCTTTCTCTCTCTCTCTCTCTCCCCTTTTTTTCCTCTCCCCCTCTCTCTCTGCACACACACACATCTATGTATACATATGTTTATGTTTATGTAACTGTATCCCACTCTCTCCCTCTCTCTCTGTATCTCTGTCTCTGTCTCTACCTTCCTCCCGCGCAGGAGGCGCGCCTGGAATGCGTTCGCGGCGAGCTCGTGGCTGCGGAGGAGGCGGGCGAGGCGCCCCTGGGGGGGGGGGAGGGGGGGCGAAGTGGGGTGGGGGGGGGCAGGAGGAGAGGTGGTTCAGAGCGGGGGGGCGGTAGGCTCAGGAAGGGGGGGATTGTCGACAGGTTTCGAGACCCAGGGTTGTTTCTATCAACTGCGCCTTGTCGAAAGCGTTCCGGGGTCGCCTGAATCGCCCCCGAACGTCCGCCCGAGAGCCGCGTTATGGCCCGAAAACCATGGGGCAACGTGGGGGGGTTCAGTTTTATGGGGGATGCATCTGGCCCTCATCGACCATTCATCGCCGATATGGGGCCCATGTGCCCCACCCCGCCCAGGAGCGTGTGGTTACGATGTCGGCGGCCTATCGTCGATCCATCGGCGACGCATCGCCGATTCGGGCTCGAGGTTTCCGCTCGGAGCCTGTCCCCCCTTCGGTTCCCCCTCAGATGGGGACGGAGGGGGATTGGGACTCGAGGAAACGTAAGCATGGATTCAGGCGCGTGGGATAACGACGGGTCCCGTTTCTATGCCAAAGCGGCGCGTTCCGTCGCCAAATGCGGCGGCACGAGCGCCACGATCTACGGATCCGTGCGTAGTCTGAGTCACGTCGCGTGTGCCCGAGGGACGGGGACGGGGGGGGTGGGGGGCTCTGACGCTCCCCCTCTACAGTTGCACAGTAGGGGTACCAGTCTCCTCTCTCCCCTGACCCTGTCCGGGCCATGCTCAGCGCCCCCCGCGTACTGTTTTCACCCACGCACGCAGGATTTGACAACACATTTAATTCTTATGTTGTTACTCTCCGATGGTTCCGGTGTTTCGACACGGTGCACACTCTGCAGCTTGGGCCTCATTTACGGATGGCGCGTCGGTTCCGTCGTTCAGAATGGTGCTCTCGCCCATGCGCCGGCCACTTTTCTGGATCCGAGTCCCTTTTCATCGTTGTCGCCCCCCTCATTTCCCCTCCTCCGCCTTCCCCTGGTCCCCCTGCTCCTCCCTCTCCTTCAACTGCAGCTCCTGCTGCTGCTGTTTATCCTCGTCGTCGTCCTCCTCCACCTCATCCTCTTCCCTTTCCTCCTGCTCATCCTCCTGCTCACCCGCCACCTCCGCCTCTTCCTCCTCGTCCTCCTCCTACTATTCCTCCTCCTATGTGCGCAGCTCCCTTCTCCTCATAAAACGATGTTTTTTCTTCGAGCTCCTAGTCGGCCATGACACGCGTCCGCTGACAGAGAGAACGTCTGCGCATTGGGACTGGTTGGGAGGGAGGGCTCGGATGTCAGACGTGGCCCCATGCGCACCTAGCTTGTCTCTCTCTCTCTCTCTATCTCTTTCTCTCTTGCTCCCTTCCCTAGCTTGTCTCTCTCTCTCTCGGCACCTAGCTTGCCTCTCTCTCTCACTCTCTCTCGCTCCCTTCCCCCTCGTGTCGTGCCAATCGTCGGCCGGGCGGCTCCTGGCCCGCAGGGAGGCCTTGGGAGGCCAGCCGGCTCCCTGGGAGGCGCAGGGCGCGTGTTTGGAGTCCAGTCTGGGAGACCGGGGAGTCTGCCGTGCCCCGCTTCTGTCTGGAGGCAGGAAAGGGGTGTGGTGTAAAGGGCTGTGGTGCCAATGCTGGATCTGGCGAGGTTATTTATCGTAGATGGCATCGCCACTTCCACGATTGGCACGATTGGCACCACACCCCTTGATGCCACACCCCTTTCCAACCTCCAGATTCTGTGTTCTCGGTCGCGCGGCACGTGGCGATCGATGATGCAACGGAGGCTGGTCGACTCTGCCACGTCTGCTGGTGGGTCAGGAGCGCGGCACGCTCGCTCGCGCCTCCCATCGGGGCGGAGGCGAGGGGAGCCGTACCATTCAATGTAATTTTTCCTCGGGGGGAGGGGGGGGGCAATGCTCGGGCGGGGGCAGCTGCGCCGAGGTGCCCGAGCTCGTTTCAGGCACGTCCAGGCGAGGAGGGCGAGGAGGTGTAGAATGAGGATAATGAGAAAGAGGGTTGAAAGATAGCGAGGAGAACGAGGTGGAGGAGGTGCAGAAGATCGAGGGGGATAAGAATGAGGATACTATAGAGATGGTGAATCATGACGAGGACGGCGGTGTTGGCGGTGTTGGTGGCGATGGTTCGGACGAGAATGCGGATGAGTGTGATGACGATGGGGATCAGGATGTCGAGGATGATACGGAGGATGATGGCGGCGTCGATGACGACGACCATATGGTGAGTCATGATGAGAGTGGTGCTTGTGATTCAGATGCTGCTGCTTATGCTACGGTTGGCGAATCATGATTCTAAAGTCTTGCGCCACATGCGCCGACCCCTTGAATCATGGGAAAGGGCGATGCTGGGCCATCCTCTCGTGGCGAGCCTCTGGAACATTTCCATGAACGTCTTGGCGGGGGCGCGGGGGATCTTCGGTCGTCAAAAGGGCGATCACGTGAAGTCCTTGGGCTCTCTGGGACGTCCTGACGTGTTCTTGGATTGCCTCGAAGGTCGCTTCGGCCCCTCAGACAACTTGTGAAACCGGGCGAACATGCCATGTCGTGTCGCTAGGCATGGTGGAAGACTTTTTTCATCATCGGTCCCATAGGGCATGAACACTGCTATCAGCGGCGACCGAAAGAGGCGTATGCTCGAACCGTGGTCGAGAGCAACCTGGGGCGTTGCACAGGAGGCTCAGAAAACAAAACACGCAGAGAAACGAGCACACGGCGCCAGCACGGGTCTACGAAGCTAAACTTCAACAGACCACTGGTGACACGTACACGCACTCTGCGGCAGCACTAAACGCGTTCGACGAGGGGCGCCTCCTCCTCGGCTGCCACAAGCGGAGCCTCGTCCTCCTCCTGGGCGAGACGCGCGGCTACCACGCGCAAAATTTGGCCAGGAGGCTCTCGGGGCTCCTGTCCATCAGCAGAAGAGTCGAACAAACATCTCGACGCCTCTTCGTCGGCAGCAAAATCGTCGGCAGGCTCCTCTTCGCGCGCAGGCGCGCTGGAGGGCCTCTGACTCGATGACGACGAGAGGTGACGAGACGACGTGACGACTCGATCAATCGAACTGGCGGCCGCCTCCTTTGCCTGGATCCGCGCCTGCAGCGCGATCATACCAGGCGTTTGGACGAGGCCAGAAACATGAGCTCCTGAAGCGACCACCTCCTGCGGCGGCGGCTGAGACGCAGAAAAACACAAAAACGAGCTGCCTCTTCTCGTGCTGCTCGTGAGCCTCGACGGGTCACGATAATGCGGGTAGAGGCCATTGTATATGCGGCGGAGCGTTGTCGGAGCTCCGCTCAGACGACGTTGGGAACACTCCTGTCCGAGCTTATGGCAGCGGCTAGAAGTGTACGCTCCGCACACGATGCAAAAGAAAAGTGTTTTCTCGGCATCACCCTTTCAGACACGGCAGTGGGCAAGAGTGTGACCAAGGCTGACGTCTAATGTTTTACGCCACGTGCTACTCATGCCTTTGCACCCTAGCATGGGTCTGGAAGACGGGTCGGTCCATAAAGCAAGGCAATGCAAGCATCGCGACCGGCCTTGTTCGAGGTCCTGCCACGCATGCCAACCCCCTGATTTTTAAAACTTGGACTTAGGACCAACGCTCATACGATCGAATTTCTCCTGAGGGAAGGCCGAAAGTACCTTTCCACAAGCACGTGCAACTATCCGCAGTAGTTTACATTTCCTGTCCACCTCCTCGCTTTCATTCTGAGAGGGTGTGGGGTGAGAGAGGAGAGCTGTTTTGGCCTGAACATCTGCGTGCCAGTTTCCCAAGCCGATACGACGTTCATCATCTGGCAGAGCGTCAATCGCAGCCAACTGGCGGTGCGCTGGCGTATGAGAGACAACGGGTACATGGCCAGCGACTTCGTGCAGCAGCGATCCGCGACGCAGACCAGCGTAACGATGCTTCCTAGAAACTTGATGCATGGGATCAGCACGGCATCGCTTCACGACGGTCAGGTTGTCCCCGTACCTGCTCCCTCCGAGCTGCTGGAACATGGGAAGCAAAGCCATCGCCTGATGTTCGGCGGCCTGTGATGTTTGGGGAAGGGTGTTCAGGACGGTGCCACGAGCAGTAGCAACAATTTCATTGGATCGGGACCCCAAACAGATCCAGGAGTAGGAGGCCCGCGAGAGCTCACGGATACAATGTCTGCTGGCCGAACCGTCCACGCACACATCAAGCCCCCGCAGGTCGATCGTGTCCCAAGGCACAGCGGCCCCCGAGGCATCATACAGTTGTGGGTTAGGCTCGGGGGAAGGGGGCGGGTACGAGGCTTCAGGGTGTGACCATTTCATCTCATCAAAGAAAAGCCGATCCTCGCTCTCGAGCGCCTCCGCATGCCATTCGACGGGAACCCCGTCAAGCGCTTCGGCTCGTGCCGCAGCCGCCGTCGGGTGCATGCACTGCCACAGTCGGTGTCGCACGCTGTCGGGCTGCCCGCAAAGTGGGCACAAGCCGTCGGCCTGGTACCCGCAGGCGCGAGCTCGCGCACGAGTCCACACTCCCTTACAAAAACATGTGAGAGCCAGATATTCTTCCCGAGGGCTAAGGTCCTTCCCTTGGGGCCCCAGGATTTTCTTGAGGGGCTCAACACAAACACGATCACCGCCAAACCCAGGAGTGTGCTCGGCCAAGGCCCGCTCGTGGGCCCTCTGGGAAGCGAGATCGAGGAGGTGAGCGAGCATAGAAGGGGAGGTGTAACCTAAATGGATTTCTCTCTCCTTATCGTCGCGAAAGGTCAAGGCCGACGTAGAAACCCACCCCAGTCTATGAAGGCTGAGATGCATACGCTGCGCAGGTCCCCTAGAGGACCGCCAGGTGACATCATCATCGAAGGGTATCGTGAGCCAGATCGAGCACAAATCCTTAACCGTGTACTGGGATATCTGTGGACACGTGATCGCCGTCCACACCACGCCAGCCCAGTGAAGCGCAGGCGCAACCGCAGCGCGCCACACAGGCTCGCCTAGGATGGCGAGCTTGGCGTGCAAAGAGCATCTCTGGTGGCGAGGGGGCT